TGGAAAGGCGGCTATCAGCAATCCTTGGGTACGTCACAGTCGTGAGCGCCACCAGGGTCTCTCAGCCTTCTTAGCGAGCCGAGCACAGACATGGCTGTCTCTCCTTTGGCTCGACAGCGCCACACTCCCCATGCCTTTGGCGCTTGCAGGCGGCGCAGCGAGGCTGCACAATTACTTGGTCATGTCTGCTATACATAGCACTACTACATACTGCTAGTTACATACATACTACGTACAAATATACGTGTCCATGTACATGCAACACCATCTCACTGCACCACCATGCTGGCGTCATATCTCGCCAGAGTGCCTGTGCTCGTGCCCATTTGCTTATTGCTCGTCCTCATCTGTCTCCGATCCAGGCTCATCCCCCCGGTCCGCAGCACCCTCGTCAAACACCACCTGTACGCCCTCCTGTGCGAGCCTCATGCGCACCAGCTGGAAGCCCTCAGTGTTAGTCCTAAACTCCTCGACGCTGCTATTTGCCTCCTCCAGTGCTTCTATCAAGTCGTGCTCGTTCAGCCCCTGTTGCATCAACCTGTCGATGCCTATCCTCTCAAAGTATTCCCGGTACCGCTCCAGCTCAGCCACCAGCTGCTGTCGCACGGCCGGGTCTCGTGGACGCCCCGCCGCAATACCGTTTATTGAAGCATCATAAGACTCCAAATTGTCATCTGGAGGCAGTGGATCTGACACAGAGGTATATTTGGACTTGACGCGTACGTCGAGCAGCGACATGAGTGTTTGGTTGTCTGACAATATCACATGCCTCGCGAGATCATTTTCCGGTATTTGAGCAAGCAAGTACGGATTTTCGCCTGCTCCTAGGTCCTCTCCGACTGTAAAACACGTCTCCACCAGTAACGTGGTGCCTTCTGTCGTGTTCCACAAGTCTTTTGCTTTTGGCACATACATTTGACAGAGCAACTCTTGGTAGTCGCTATTGGGTTCCTTGCCCCATACAGGCTTAGGTATTGGCGATATATCGAGCTCCTTGCACAGCCTCGCCGCTAGCCACGGGTACTGTTTGATGGCAGTGCGGAGTGCCGACCGCGCCTTCTGTGGTTCCTTCATGCGGTCGTGAGCGAGCGCAACGCTATAGGCCAGGTTTGGTGGAATCTTCCATTGTCGCTGCAGATGGTCTGATTCAGCGATTCTGATCAACCCTTCAGCATCCCGACCCCTCAAAGCCAGTTGGTCAATTAGAAGTCGGAGACAGTAAGGATCTTGTTCGGGGTCCATGGCGAGTAGCAGCTTGGCCCACTCAAACGACGTCCGCCATGTTGCGCGTGTGCTCAATGCACCGAGATAACGCCAAACAGCAAGCCAAAATTCGCGGTTTTCTGGACGGCGAAAGTCTAGCCGTGCTTTACCAGCCGCGAGATTAGCAGCAAAGGTCGAGTGCACAGAGCGACCAAATGTAAAAAGGGCACGTTCCAGCATATCAGACGCAGCGGCATTCTCGCGTTGCTGCTTCGCAATTTCAGAGACCTGAAGCAATGTCGAGATGTGGAATGCTACAGGGAGGGTTAATATTGCACGCAGTCAGGGTAACGGGCCAGCTTACGGTTGTGCTGGAGGAGTGCAATCATGCGCTCAGGATCCATGCTTGCAACGCATGTCTGAAATTGCCGCTGGACGTCTTGGTACATGCGATTGTGCACAAACTTGTACTCAACAGTACCATCTGCCCGCTTCTCAACAATCTCCATTCCAAGACCACCAGACGTAGCACGCGGCCACTCTTCCTTGCCTTGAATGAAAATGTTTCTACGCAGACTCAGAGATGCAAGATTGCGGCCACCGGGAGCGTTACGTCCTGCAATGGCAGCTGCAATCCCACCCTGATGGCCCCGCTGTCTGGGACGCGCTTCGTCGTCAATGTTCTGCAGAGCAGCTCGACCAAAGAGTTTCTTCATCTCGTTGGCCGAGTGCAGATGTTGAGTGTCAACACTCAATGCAGAAAACAACTGCTTCTTCTCTTCACTGACAACGGCACCCTGTTGGTCCGACTCAGCACCTGCTTGGCCGTTCGCAGTCAAATTGAGCGCAAGGAGAGCTTCATCAATCTCATCCAAATCCGACCTTCTCTTGACTGGGGCATCATTCTGGGCTGTGCTAGTAGCCTTGCCCTTTGCTTTTGCCTTCTTTTTCTTCTTTTTGCTCTTCTTCGATGGTTTTGAAGCAGGTGCAGACTCAAGTTTTTCTTGATGATCGGGTCTGCCGGTATCGGGCTCGACGTTACGCTCTGCGTCTTCATCGTCCTCATCTTCGTCATTGCCGTCGTCAGTGTCACCTAGCATGGCAAACAGACTCGGTTTTGCGCCGGTCCTTGCCGCCACCTCGAGCTCTGACTCTTCTTCATCCTGGCTGTCCTGCGCTAGCTTTTCTCGAATCTGTTTCTCTTCGAGTTCTCGCTGGGCTCTGCGTAGCGCTCGCGAAGACATTTTGTTATCCGGAGAATTGTGTGTCAAAGGCAAGGTTATGACGTACTCGGTATTGTGGCTTCAATGTTAGTCGCCATTTGTACGGTTAGGGCGTGATTGGGCCCACGGCGGGTAAGCGCTTGGACTAAGCGTTCATCCCACGCTGCACCATGATTTCACTGCTCGCAGCCTACCGTCGCTGTCAACCTCACCTACCCTTCCAATAACGCCCATCCACGCTACCAGCCAGATGCGGGCTGCCTTTCAAGCGCTTCGCTCTGCACGCCGCCCGTGCCTGCGTAAGCTCGCTCGCACCCGTGTCGGTGTCTTTGTGCCAAGCAACGGCCTAGCCCACCGGGCTCACCATGCCTTCCGACAGCGTGCCTCCCCACTCCTGACTTCGTCCATGCAGTTCCGCGCGTTGACGGGTGCCCTGGTGGCTGCAGCAGTTGCCTCTGGGGCCTTCTTTGCATACAACGGGAACGACTCCACGGGTCACTCGCATTCCCCCGCCGACCAAGCCAGAAACCTTACCAGTGCTGCCAATAACGAGACTACGCGGAAGGCGCTCGTCGTGGGGCCCGGAGAGCTGTACACGGGCACAATCACGGGAACTGGGCCCATCTCAAAAGAGACAGATGACTATGGCAGGAAAGTGCTCGAGATGCTGGACCCGGACCAAGCCACGGCCAAGCTGAGGAAGAATGAAGAATCATGGTTGGTGGGAAGGGGTCAGGGCGTAGTGCGATATGACGTTGTGCAAATACCCAGCAATGACCCTATTGAAGACGACCACGCTGAGAAGATTATTGAAGTCCCATCCAATCTGGCTGCTACCGACAATGGCGCATCTGCCAGCGACTGGATGTTCTGGGGCGTATTCGACGGTCACAGGTATGCCGAGAGTCAAACAGAATACGAATGCTCTGCTAACTAGATGTAGTGGCTGGGTAACTTCAGCCAAACTCCGTCAAACGCTGATTTCCTACGTCGCACGCGAGCTCAACACGACTTACAAATCCGCCCTTGCAGACCCTTCGCTGCACTTTCCAAGTCCCGAAGCAATCGACAAAGCAATCAAAACTGGCTTCACCAAGCTAGACAACGAAATCGTTCACGAGTCTGTCAAGAAAGTACGCAAGGCCCAGTCTAAAGTCGCCGCTGCCGAGCTACTTGCCCCTGCACTATCCGGTTCATGTGCTCTCCTGTCCTTCTATGACAGCCGGTCGAAGCTTTTGAGGGTTGCCTGCACAGGCGACTCTCGTGCTATTCTTGGCCGACGAGGCGAAAATGGCAAATGGACAGCAACTCCTCTATCAGAGGATCAGACTGGTGGAACGACAAGCGAAGCAGAGCGATTACGCCGAGAACACCCCGGCGAGCCCAATGTAGTCCGTAATGGCCGTATTCTAGGTGGATTGGAGCCCTCTCGCGCCTTTGGGGATGCCTACTACAAATGGTCGCTCGAGACGAATGCCGAACTGAAAAAGTCCTATTTTGCACGAACGCCATCAGCGCTACTCAAGACTCCACCTTATGTTACGGCCGAACCCATCATCACTACCACCAAGATTGAGCCTGAAAAGGGTGACTTTGTCGTCATGGCTACAGATGGATTATGGGAAATGCTTACCAATGAAGAAGTAGTTGGTTTAGTTGGCCAGTGGCTCGACGCGCAGAGCAATTCGGGGGGCCAAGGTACTCAGACTCAATCATGGCTAAAGAGCTGGTGGTCTACCCAGAAACAGCTACCGGTTGAACAAAAAGCAGGAGACACGGCAGAAGGCCAGCGTGCGCCCATCCGCCAACAACAGTGGGGTACCAAGACCAGCTTGAACGAGCGCTTCGTAGTTGAGGACAAGAATGCCGCGACCCATCTTGTGCGAAACGCACTTGGAGGAAAGGACCAAGACCAGCTGAGCGCTCTGCTCACACTTCCAAGCCCCTTCTCTCGACGATACAGGGACGACCTGACTGTAGAAGTCATCTTCTTTGGCGAAGGCACCGGCACGGGTAACGTGACTCGAAATCAAGAGGCTAGCGCAGCCGAGCCTGAGGCTCAAGCCAAGCTGTAGGACATATTGGTTTCTGTCTTGTGGTTTTTTGGGGTGGGAATGCGCTCAGTCATATTTCGACTGTTGGCAGCTTAGCATGTATCGCGGCGTTGACAGGCTCTGAATGGTTATGGCGTTTGATGGGAATGTGACACTCATGGTGGAATTATTGTTTGAATCAGACCATAGCATACACTACATAGGTTTAGCATCTGGGGCTGAAGCCAATTGATTTTGTTCTGAACCATGTACCCCACTTCGTAAAGAGCATGACAGCGGGTTCCATATGCTCGGGCGAGCAAGCTCGGTGATGGTGTGGTTCGGTTCCGTCGATTCCGCATGATGTCATGGTTGCGAACTAGAAGCATCTTGAACTTTTCGACCATTATAAAATACGACGTACAAATGTGGTCACTGTTCGATAACACATATGACAGCTTTCATCTGAGTGTCCCCAAAATCTGTCGATCAGTCAATCAACTACGAAGAAAAGGTGCATCCATAACTACACACAAACACCATGGCCGAATCACTAGCAGCATTCCGTGACCGCCAGTCCAAAGACCTGCAGAAATTGGCTGAGGAGCACTTGCAGCATGAGTAAGTCAGAAAGACTGCTGGTTTCTTGGAGAAGAGGACCAAACTAACTCGGGACAGTCTCCAACAGCAAGATCGCGACATACTTAAAAGTGCGGCGGGAAAGGTAACAAGAAACACAACCATCGGGTCAGCATTAGGCCTTGGTCTTGGCATTTACACGGCATTCCGTCTACGGGCAATGCGGCTGGCTTACTTCAAAGCGTTCCGTGCCATGGAAAAGCCTGTAGAAGTGCGTTTCGCCGACGGGCGCACCGAGAAGGTCCCCGACATCACGGCACAAATCAGCGGCCCGTCGCGCTGGGGCGATGCAGCGGCTTACTTCTTCTTCTCGGTTGCTGGCTTGTTTCTTGGGGGTGAGCTAGGGCTGCTGACAGGAACAGCGAGCGCATCAAGGGTTATTACAAAGGATCCAGAGAGTAGGGGGAGGATCGAAAAGGCATTCAAGAATTACAGAATCGATGTGCTACAGAGGGAGATTCAGGTGCTACGAGGCAAGAGTAGGTTTGAGGAGTTTTTCCGCAGTGGAGGAGCTGGGGCGGGAGAATGAATAACTGAGGAGACCTTATGAATAGCGAATTGAATTGTATTGATGTGTGTTACGTGTGCATATGTCCGGTTGAGGATTGAAGGTGGAGATGTTGACCGCAACTCAGCCACGCTAGCCACATTACCCCGAGTGCGACACAGCCACAGCCACATGTCATGACATGCATAGTACCACTAGTAACAATTCGACCTGGTGAGCCGTAGCAAGGGAGGAAAACATAGAAATTGATGTAGCCAAGCTTTATTGTATTTTTTGTACTATGCGTATCGAAGTTCAATAGGCCGTGTTCTCACAAGCTAGCCCTACCTAGACGCTCTGGTGAAGGCCCAGCGTTTCAGGCGCTGGCTATACATGACGTGTCGTAAGGAGACCCTTTGCGCGCCTACTGCAGATCGTTGAGTGGAAAAAGGCCCGCCAGGTCTCGAATTGCATGACGACGTCACGCCCAGCGTCTTGCCGATGGCCCGTTCACGCGCTTGGAAAACAATCGCTGCAGCCCATCGCCTCATCTGCCCCCAGGGCCCCCTTCACTTGCATTGCTTCTATTCCTCGCCCAGTGTTTATCATATCTTGATAATCCATTCGTTGTTGAGCCTGAATCCTTTTCTCCCGCCCGGGGCCGCGTGGAACCCTAATATAGACGACCGGGCTCTTCACCCTGAAAAAAAACCGCTGAAACGGTGCCGTACATCCACCTGATTCATTCGCCAGTTCCTCGTTCTTCATCTTTTTTTCTCTACACAACTGGACCGTTGCCCATACCGCCTTTACTGAGCTGCGTACTCTTGTTTCTTGAAAGCGTCGCCGAAACAAAGTTGGAGAGTGTCCAACCCCTGTGACGATCATGAAAGGAGCCCTTCTTTCGCTGGTGTGGCTTGCGGGTCTTGCTGCAGGCCAAAGTAGCTCATCCGTGTCGGTTATCACACTATCTGGATCCCAACGAAGTCTCACAGGTGACGATGCTGCCCCCAACCCAACTGTGCCCTCCGATTTCGAGGGCAGTACTTTTGCGACAATTACGTCACCTGCTTCCTCAGCTTCATCGGGCGCCACAGTGTCGTCCAACGGCACGATAACCTCGGGTGAACCTGTCACCAACATCGGACAAGGAAACAGGACCATCACGCCAACAGGTACCGGCACGGCACCCGCCTTGCCGTCTAACACACAGCCATGCAACAACTACCTCGAGTTCTGCGACCGCAAGTACTCCAACATCACCGAAGTCTGTGCCCACAACTCACCCTACACGCGCAAGAACAACATTGCTCGCAACCAAGAATACTCTGTAAAGCAACAGCTTGACGATGGTATTCGTATGCTTCAGGGATCGGCTCACTATGTCAACGGTACTCTCTACTACTGCCATTCCTCGTGCGACTTGCTCAACGCCGGCACTGTCGAGGACTACCTCCGCCAAGTCACCGAATGGGTAGAGGACCACCCCTTCGACGTAGTCACCATCCTCTTCGGAAACTCAGACTGGGATAAGACAACCGCAGACGGCAAACCCCTTGTCACCGCCAAAAACTTTGCCGAACCAATCGAGGCCTCTGGCCTCCGCAAGTACATCTACCAGCCGCCCAAGACCGCTATGGAACTCAACGACTGGCCCACGCTCGGCGAGCTCATCCTCCAAAACGACCGCGTCATCACCTTCATCGACTACAACTACGACACCGACGCCGTCCCCTATCTCCTCTGGGAATTCTACAACATGTGGGAGACCACCTTTTCCCCCACGGACCAAAACTTCCCTTGCAATCTCGGCAGACCCGAAGGCATGTCCGAGAACAAAATGAGAGACATCCTGTACATGGCGAATCATAACCTGAACGCCGAGATTTCTTTCGCCGGCTTCAATCTCCTCGTACCAAATGTAGCGCAGATCAATCAGACGAACGGGGTAGAGGGATTTGGTAGTTTGGGTCTCATGGCCAACACTTGCACTAGTAAGTTTCTTCCTGGGAACATATTGAATGAGATCAAAGCAACTAACATGTCTGTCTTTTTTTTTAGGTGATTGGGGCCGCCCACCGAATTTCCTACTCGTCGACTTTTACAACGAGGGCTCGACTAATGGCTCCGTATTCGAAGTCGCGGCTCGTGCTAATAATGTCACGTATAACCGCGAGTGCTGTGGTACTACATCTGCAGCAGATGCGCAGCTGCAACCTGTGTACTTTGGCCTCGTAGCTGCTGCTTTTGCGGCCGTTTTGGCCCTGTGAGCTAGCTGAAGTTTTGTTACTGTAAGACTGAACTTGTGAACTGTATAGTCGGAAAAAGGCATAAGGAAACAATAGAATTGTTGGATGAGAAGGCATGGTATGGCGTTTTTTTTACTGCTTTTCTCTTCCTTTGGCATTAGACAAGTTGTAATTCTACAGCACTTTTTTTTTGTTCATAGGAAACAATGATAGCAAGCACAGAACTTGATGAAGCATAGAAAGTATATTCTGTCTCTGTTCACTGATGAAGAAAGTGAGAACGAATGACTAGCTAGTCTTTTTATTTCATTTGTATCTCCATAACTCTATTCTCTCTTGGTCACACACACACAACACCTCTCCAAGGGTAATATTAATCGGTTACCCACCACGTCAGGTAAATACCACAGCACTCTTAATCAACACTTCTTAATCTGTTTTTTCCTTTTCTTAGTTTACATACCCTTACCCACTATCCCATACTACGTCTGTCTAACCGATGGAAAAAGACGACTAAACCCTCCGACCCAGTCATTCATTCCCCCACAGTACATAAACCATGGAATTACCCATCAGCCAATCCATCCCATACCGTAGCCCGTAAACCTACATGCCCGACCTAGGAATGAGAAGCCGCCCATCCCTCCCATGGTATCTCTGTAAGAAAAAAAAGGGAAAACGGCCTAGGTACAAAGACAAGTACCAGAAGGGGGAGAAGAGAAAAAACGCCACAAAATGCAAGAATGCACTATTGTTACATGGACCGAAAGAAGAGATAAGAAGAAGAAAACTTCATGGTATCATAAACAAGACATTGAACAGAAAGAGAAAAAAAGGAAAAGAGAGGTAAAAAACGGGACAAGGAAGAAAGTACGGAAATACTTCACCTCATACTCAAGGTACTACTACCACCGGTAGTAGTAGGTGTATTCGTCCTCACAGGCTCAATAGCCAAGCTATCATTCCGGGGCGCCAAACCCTCCGGCCAACTGCGCCGCTCACGATGCTCTATAGACGGCAACTCCTGGTTCTCCTTTGAAATGCTATTCTTCTTCTTACCCTTGCTCCATCGCCTCAGCTTCTCAACGTGCGACGAGCTGCGCCGCTGCTTTTCCTCAGCCTCGGATTCGCGTCTTGTTTTCTCGTCGCGCACGGGGTCCGATAGCCTGCGGGCAGCAGGGACAATATTGAGGTAGAGCGGGTAGAGGGCGCCGGCCGAGTAGGTGGCGACAATGACACAGAAGGCGAGTTGTGGGTTTTGGGTCTTGAGGATGGCGAACATAATGGGTGGGAAGACGGCGCCGCCGCTGATGGCGGAGACGAGGAGGGCAGAGGCGTCTTTGGTGTGCTTGCCCATGCCGCGGATGCCCTGTGCGAAAATCTGGGGGAAGATTGGACCTTCGAAGAACATGACCATGGCGATGATTGCTACTCCCGTGGAGCCGGAGACGTGTATCGCTGCTGCTGTGAAAGCAATCGCCCCCAAATAAAAGAACAGCAAGCTGTAGCGCGGCTTGACCCAGATATCGATGAATGCAGCCAGGAATCGAGAAACAGCAAAAGCAGTGTGACCGTAGGCTTGCTGGGATACAGGATCAATGCTAGGCATGACGCGACTGAGATACTCGTTGTATGAAGTAGAGGTAGACTCCTGGCCTCCAACATAGCAGAACTGCGAAAATACCGCCATAGCTAGACTTACCCATAGGACCTTGACGGACCTGGATCCAAGCTTGACTGTAGCCTCGCGTGCATGGGGCACAGTACGCTGGCTAGCATCCTCGAGTTGATCATCTGTGGCTTCTGGAAGTGGTACGTAAAAGTAGATGACGGCAAGGGCGATGTTGAAAAATGAGATGCCGAGATACGTCCATTGCACATCAATCAAGCTCGCAGCGTTTGCGGGAAAGAGCACCTTTTTCGCCAAAATTGGAGAGATGATGCTACCGACTGCCTGAACAGCTTGCGACAAGTTCAACCGTGCCTCTGCATACTCTGGTGGTCCACAAAGAGCTATGAAGGGATTTGCACCGAGTTCTAAGGTCGAAAGTCCGGCCCCAACAATGAAATTGGATATTAGGAATGCTGGAAAAGAATTCAGCACGGCGGACGGCCAGAATACGAGAGCCCCACAAGCATAGACTGACAATCCGACCATGTAGCAGGCTTTGAATCCCCAAATCTTGAAAACAAGTCGTCCAAAGGTCAAAGGCCCCACAAGATAGCCAGCATAGTAGGCAGAGTGTTGGCCTACCGTCTGCCAATCGCTTGTATGGGCAACCTCTTGAAACCGAGAGTTCAAGACGTCCAGGAATCCATAGGCAAACCCCCAAACTGCAAAAAGTACAGTCACCATGAGCACGGGATATATCGATTCTCGATTGCTTCGTAAGGTGATGTTCTTCTTTTGTCCCGTATTGACAAAGTCGAAGAACGTTACTTGTTGGCGTTGAGTCCGGAATGTGGCGTTTGTATTCAGTGTTCTGAGCTGCGGCAACTCAGTCATGTCGGGAGTCGTAAGAAAATCCATCATAGCCATCGGCTCGTCACCACCACTCCTACGAGCTCCACCGGGTTTGCTTAGTGGGGACGCAGGAGGTGTCAATAGATCTGAGTGCCTTCGGGAATCGAGTATGTCGGGATGGAGGACATGTTCATCGCTGGTTTGTGTCGTTGTGTCGCGAATCGTGTGGTCAATAACCCAGCTGGGAAGAAATCTCCTGACTAGTGGCTTCAGGGCAGGAACGCAGCCACACATTATGCCTAGGTTGATCTCGACAGCACTCCACATAAACGACAAAGATGAAAACCACGAGAAATCACTCATGTTTCTTTGCTCATTTCCTGATTCGGTAGTTTGCCGTTGCGCAGCCTCGAGAGTGTTGCGCTGAGCTTGCTGAAGGTATGCAATACGGATGACATCAACAACTGCTACGAATATGCCGAAACCGAACGTGATAACCAGGATAATTTTCTGTTTTTTAGGCAGTCGCATGCTGGTGAGTATTGGCATTGGGAGAAACAGGATGGCCAAGTCAGTGATGATGTTCAGCGGCGCCGAGGAGAGGTAGATTGTGACGATGTTGGTACAGCGTGCTGTAGTAGGAACTGGAGAAGCCCATGCAGCACCAACGGGTCGGCATTGCAGAATGTTAAGAATTGTTAGCGCCAGTCCGCCAACATTGACTACGACAAGGGTTGCGATAGTAGCTCTTCGAAACAATTTCTGGGTTTTGGATAGCGTCAGGTAGAATAAGAGAATCGAGGTCTTGGTCGCCATCAGAGCGGGATTCTGCCGCATCTTAGCATTGGCACTCTCAATGTGAAATGTCGAGTACGTACATAGAGTACAGAGAAGGCATAGGATGACTTTTTCATCGGCCCCTGCCACTCTGGTGGCATATTTTCTTGTTTGCGTCCCAATCCTTTTGTCGTGCCATAGCATATGGAAAAAGAGGCGCCAAAAGCAATGACCCATGCGAGGATCATCGTATAGTCATCCCATCCCGGCTTTCTCACCACCAAAAACCTGGACACCAGACGAAGGCCTACGAATACTGAACATATTGCTAGCGTTGCGGCCGAAACGCCCATGACAACTGGGCCCCGCGTGGGAAAATCTCCATCGAGATTGGTGGCGGCCATGTCGTGCACTGGGCTATAACGAATTCAGGGATGCCATAGATGGAGCGAAGATGATGGATTGCGGAGCAGCGTCTTATCGCGTTCGCGGGCGTCTCGGAATCTGGCGTTCAGGCCACGGCATTATCTGGTGCCAGCCCTACTGTCAAGGGGAATTTTGACAGTGGGTGTTGGTGTTGAGGAGTGGCGAATGCGCGGAGGTGCAGGAGAGATGCAGGAGAGACGGTGTACGGGGACAGGCGGGACGATGCGGTGAAAAGACCACCGACCCCAGAAAAAGGCGGAGAATTCAGTCAAGGCGGGCGATGTGGAGTTGACGTTGCTAAATGCGCGACTTGTCCACGAATTGGACAGGGCTTGCGCCAGAGCGAAAATCCTCTGATCATCATTGGGAGAAACACGTATGGATCGTGCGGAGAGGTGACGCCACTTCGTCACAGCGCCTGTCCCGGCCGAGTCTCAGCGAATACGTCGCTTTCGCACTGGGCGGCCTCTTGGCGAATCACGGGGATCATGGAAATTGAACACCTACAGGTTGACGGACGAACGGGCTGCCTGACGCTTGGTCGGCTCGAGTCACAGACGCAGACGCAGACGCAGACGTTTGTTGGCTCCGCTTAGGGTCTGGACAGCGTTGGATGTTGTGGGGTGGATTAGGTTTGGGTCGAAAGATTTTCACTCAGCACCAGCCGTCATGGAGAAGACGATATGCACGAAACGGGCGGCGTTCTCAAAGCGTCAGGGCCATGGTTTGTTGTAGTACGCGTCCAGCAATCTGCCGTGTCCATGGTTCCCCACCCTGCCTCGCCCAGACGCCTCAAGAACTCTATTCCAACCACGGGCTTTTGCTGAGTGTTTAGGGCTGGGCGGCAGCCTGCGTGCAATGACTGCACGTAATGCCTTGGTCCCAGATTGCGGGGAAGAAGTGAGCCGCTCGTGTGGGGTCGGTAAAGTCATGTGCCTTGGGCAGCTGCAGAGCGTCGCTGTCACTAAATTCCAGTCATGGTCGTCCGAGCGGCCCAAGGGAGAGCGCGATTCAATCATCAACATCGGGTGACTTTGGTGCGTGCTTTGGAAAACACGGCACATAGTGATACCGACATTACCCCTCGCACTCGTATACTACCTGTGCGTCGATGCGAGCCGTGAGGCCTTTCCAGAGGCTTATGCGTACATGATTGGCCAGACGAGAGAGAGAATGCTCGCTTGAACGGCGATCAAGGGCTTCGCACCGGCAACTTTGTCTAAGGCTACCGTATCCGGCTAGTCAATGCCCCAGAAAAAAAAACGCCCTCTGTTGGGGTTCACAGCTGACACAACCTCAGGAAGAATGGTCCGGGTCGGTGCTGAATCGGATTCTTCAACGCCCACTGGAACTTAGTCATAATAAGCGCAAGGCTTAGTCGTGTCGTCAGTGCCGTATGCGTTCCAGACCAACACGGGCTGGGCACACTTCAACATCTCAAGTGTAAGAGAAAAAGAACACGAATCATGACCTGAGCAATTGCAAGAACAGGCGAGATGTCCAGTGTAAGTGTTTAGTTGAGAGAGCGTAAGTACATCTGCAATTGTGAAGCGTGCTATGAGTTGACAAGGTCATCGCCGCGGAGCAAGCAGGAGACGGAAAGCGGGTCGCGGATCATTGTCGGTCCGCGATGCCTTAGCGCCGCTTAGTTCTCAACTTTTCTTCCTCCGATTCTTCGCCGCAACCAACTACCAAAACATCTCACCCAGAACTCTCGACATAAGCGCGAGCTTACTGTATAATTGCGCAGCTTCATGTTCAACTGCTCTGTACAGCGTCGCCAGTCATTACTTCTTGCGTGCACATTTGTTGTTGATATTTGACATTGGCTCTTTCGAAGACTCGGTGATTCGCTACTCCTCCACGATCACGGGTTCAATTTGTAGCCTAGAAGAAGCCAAACGATCTGCCAAGATCATCCCACTCGTGTTGCAGTGTCAGAGCGAAAGCCAGGACGACTTTGCGTCTTTTGATGGGAGACATTATTGATTTCAATACTTGTATTCGTAGAATACCGCCAGAAACGTGGCATCTGCACCGGCATACGCCAAGCGCAAAGGCAAAAAACTACTATAGTTCCTTCTTTTCTGTAGGTTTCTGATTGGCGCTGAATGCCATGGCCTCTTGCTTCTGGCGCTGCTTCTCTGCAGCCACAGGTGTCGGCTTGTGCATGATGAGTACCCATGCTGCCGCAACTGCCTCGGCAACAAGAGCAATCATACTTGCGCATGCAATACCCCATACGTTTATGCTCACACTGCCTAACGGCGCGCGGGGGAAACTGAGTATCCATTCCACGTAGTACGGCACCCAGCCCGCCGGTATCCAGAACATGGGCGATTTCGCGAACCAGAATTGTAGGACGAAGCGGAGGCCCTGCGTTCCGAGCCAGCGAAGGGTCGAGACGGCAGACGTGAAAGTCGAGTGATGCGAGCGCAAGGAGCCATCTAGAGCAAAGCACGTCAGTAAGCACACGCGACTTGGACAGACAAATGCTGCCGAGCCAACTGCAACGCACCCAGTTTCTGATACTCGGCCATGGCCTTGTTGTGCTGTCTGTCAAGTTTTGCCCATTTGGAGAAGTTGTCCTGAGGCGACGTGTTCCCCAACTCGCGCTTCAGCTGAACAATCTCCTTCTTCAGAATCTGACATCGCTTTGCAGAGCCCGAACTGGGCGTCGGTAGCTTATTGTAAAGTATCCATAGCTGGAGCCTTGTCAGCACCGGGTCCTCCCGTGTTTGCAATCCAAGGCGGGGCTTACCAGCTCGTTGACGGTGTTTTTGCCAACCGTATTGATGACATGAAGCAGCAACTGGAGAATAAAGACTACCAGAAGAAGCGATGGCATGGTTGGAGGCGGTGGAGAGGAATCGTTATGCGGGGTGCTCTCATCGCATGGTGTTGTGTCCAGATGAGCGAAAAGCCGTTATGTCATACGGTGGAATTTAGTAGTGACAGGCTAGAGCAGTGGACCGTGCGTAACCATGCTTCCTGCACTTGCCTGTCGACTCTTTCTACTTCCTTAGCTCGACAGCTCAATTTCAGTTTCAGTCAGCACCAAAATTGACCAGACGACTCAATGTGTTCAAGCCCTACATGATGGATTCAGACGTTTCCAAAAGATCTCAGTTACAAAAACTGGCTTATACATCATTGACCGAGTACTTCCAAGAGCATGACCACGAAGTCGTTGAAATTACAATTCTCCCTCCGTCTGTGCAGCCACCAGACGGTGTCTTGATACAAGAAGGATCATCACTTGGAATATCAAAGAAAGCACTTACCTTGGCTTACATGGAAGCACGTGGACTATTCTTCGGGAACAGAGAGAGCAATGATCCTGCCACAATAAATCAGACAATGCAGACGACAGAGATTATGCTTCTTTTTGACCCGGAACATCTCACTGCTGCAAACTATCGTAAGCGCGTGCTTTCCCAGCTAGAAGCTGAACACGGACTTCACGCTGGGAACATATTTCATAAAGCTCTACAACGAGAGCTTTATTTTCTGGATAGCGTCCTCACATCTCCACTGCATCGTCAGTCAAAGTCACCAACTCTATGGTATCACCGCTCCCATATTGTAGACTCTCTTATAACAGTTGGTCTGACAGAAACATTGGGTGATCAGAAGGCGGTCTTTTGGAACAACGAGCTCGAGGCTGTGTGCAAATCTGGGGAGCAACATCCTAAGAATTATCATGCTTGGCAGTATGCTCGTAGGTTGGTGCAAAAAGCCCATGGTTTCGGAGCGGATGACCAGTTTGTCCGAATCGTCAAAAAATGGTGTACTAGACATCCAAGCGACATATCTGGTTGGTCTTTTCTTTTGTACTTGATGCCTCGACTAGCGCCATCACTGAGGGAAGAGCTGGTGAGAGATGTGCTAGATTACGCCATTAAGTTCAGCATCGAGAACGAGTCACTATGGGTTTTCATTCGCACAGCTCTCGCACAAGACATGTCCAGCGCGGGACACTCGGTAACATATCAGCATCTTCAAGATTATGTTCAAAACTTGACAAACGACGAAAGACCACAAGACGAGGCCCACACCGCTTCTAATGCTCTCAAATGGATCGACGCTTATGGAAAACACACCGGATGATCACAAAGAGTTGTTGATTATTAATATTGTTTGATTCCTATATTGAAGCTATTATTACTGCCACTACACCCTTCGCATTCACCCACAACTGGCTCTTCTCGCGTCTCTTGAGATGGCTTCGTGTTATGGTAGTGCTTTTAAAACCATCAGTGACGTGTCTCCACAAGCAATCCAATGGGTGCTTCATGTTCCATATTGATGGACCATGTGTCGCCGTTTCACCCACTGTATCTTTTTGGGTTTCTGACATAGAACTGCTTAGAAATTCATGCTCATCGACTCGTGATTGAAGGCTCGACGAAGAGTTGCAAGCCCCTGAGTATCTAAATGATTTTGCAGAGCAAATGTCCGACTCTGAGTACCTCCGACCACTGACTGTTCGAACATCATCTGCTAATACCCATGTGGGCTCCGAGATTGATCTTTGCAGCGCAGGCATCATATCTGAAACATCAGAACTCAAACATGTGCTCTCCAGAGTTTGCGAGGAAAGTGTTTGATGCTGCGCACCCGGTTCGTATGTGGTGAGGATGGCGGATTTGGCCAACAGCCGTGTTGTCGACTCACGATCGAAGTAAAATTGTTTGACGTCCGGGGTCTCTGGATCTGTGTACTCTTTCAAGAGCGACCAGTCGATTTTGTAAACGTTTCGGATATTTACATGTGAATCCAATTGCAGTCGAGCGCCGTTGGCTAATTGCAGAGTTGAAGATCGCTTTATAGTCTTTCTCAGACTTCCGTGTGAATGATCTGGCGATGGCGCTATCGGTAGATATGAGGTGTGTAGGGTGATATGGAATTCGTTTGACTTGTTGTATAGGTCGCCAAGTGTTCTTCGGTGCCGTGAGGAGATCTTGAGCATGTTAGCGGCATCTACGAATTACAATAAACATGTTACTCACAACTTGGAAATGAGCTATGTGGCTATCTTCTGCAGGCCTCGAAACCACAACAACTGGATGCCCATAGATGCCCTCGACAACGCCTGCGCCACATGCTCTCTTCACCGCCTGCCTTGGCAAGTCCCCCTCTGCTGGTAACCAAAATATTCTGCCTTGGACTACATCAACGTCCTTTGCTGTGACTTGGTTGTTCGGCATTGTCCAGGCTACTGAGTTTTGTAATGTTGTCATGGTAAAAGGATTTGTAATGATGCGACTGCTTACAATGGCGATTGTCCCAACTTATAAGTACAGACGTCAGTTGGACTTGCGCATGCAGTCATGGCGGTATGAGCCACGCTGCAATCAAGAGCATTACGCGCGCCTGAGCCTCATTGGACCGTCAGGCAGAGTGCTCGTTCCGCACGATCCATAGGAACGGCTTTGCTTATTTGATTGGCAGAAACGCTCGGCTGAGCTTGATTTGACAGTTGTGCGATAATACCGCCGGCGTACGGCGAAACAGGCGCATGGATGATCGCGTCACCCGCTCAGCCAACGACAATAATAGGAGCTTACAAAAGTGGCAGGATTAAGGGTGGCTGAGCGCGGCAGCATGCGATGTGATTGGCCGAGACGGACGGTTGACTACTTGAGAACATCGCTCGATAAGATAACTTCGATCACATATACGCGCGGCCTTACTTCAGAAAGTGGCTTTTGTCGAGTCTTTGACCAACACATGTTGCGGCTTGTAATTTCGCAAGGCGCAAAGCCATAATAACTGCAATTTACCTTGGCCTACTTCGGCCAAAGTGATGTATGACCACTAGATAATTTTACTTATCAGAAGCAGTGAATTAACACTAAGCTTTTATGAGAGATGCACCAGTCAAATAGCTCACAGGAATCGCATAGCCTGGGTGCGAGCTCCCCGCGTTTACAACTCATGCATTTACGCTACAACATCCGGGGTAAGCAACGGCTGCTACCGTCTAGCCGCATACCCCGGCAGTATCTCTACTGGAGAACCCAAGTCACGCATGTCAGGAACGTTCCCGAAATAAAATGGACCCACTACCGAGTCATGTTTATGAGGGACCCCCGACGAGAGAGGCAATCCGCATTCTGATACTGTACCCCGCAATCGACTTCCAGGCACCACTCGAAGCCCACTTTTAGTACAACAGCGAAGAATTATCCCATGATACCACAAGTTCTTCTCAAGGGTTCGATGCTGTATCATACTGTTGAGGCGAACCCAGGTTTACTCACATTATCCACTTCAAGAACTTCAGCCATGGACGCATACCTTCACTCGCTATTACCGCAAACGTCGACTCCCTGCTACGCCATTTATGAAAACCTCACAAAGAGCGCCGTCTTTGGATCGACGCTATATGTATTAACCAAGCCGACGCGGAAGAGAAGACGCTTCAAGTGCCCCTAATGCGCAGCATTTACACAGCTACCTTGAAAGTCCATGCCTGGCTCGGCGTTGGGGGAACATTCGATGCACAGGCAGTTTTTACACACTTGAAGAGGATCGTCGTTGTCGATGAGCTAGAGAAAGAAACTATATCTCTCCCAAATCAGTTTCGTAAAGACTGTGCGGCTACGCAGTCGACCTTACAACAATTGTTTCTCAACCCTTGGTTTACGCGGCGTTGGGTCCTGCAAGAAATTGCCCTTGCTCATGAAATTACAGTTCATTACGGATATGACAAGATCTCGTGGAATTGGTTCGTAAGGGGGACCTTGCTTCTACCGGAATTAGACGAGCAACACAAGACTTAAGGTGGATGGGCCAGTTACCAGCCTTATAAAGTCGCCAAGAAGACTATTGAGACTTCGTTGAAACGTGAGTTATGGCTCCCAGACTCCCTACTGGAGCATGTTTCTGCAGAATGTAGCGATCCGAGAGATCGATTATTCGCTCTGTACGGTATACTGGATCACAACTACAGTGGCTCAGAACCGGCGGTAGGGATATATGATCGGAGAGACTCATCGATGCCCCCCCAGATACTCCCGAAAGTGGATTACACCAAAAGTTGGGTAGAGACGTACAAGTGCCTGGCGGAAAACATGATACAATTGCAGCCGAGCAAGTTCTGGTACCATCTCCGGATTTTCGGATCTATTCGCGAACATGAGCTGACGGACCCGTCGTGGGTGCCAGACTGGAGACAAGTAAACATTTTCATTCAGCCACGTTTGTTCTATACGGAGATCGATGGTGGAATACTTATAGATTTACCGAATGGTTGTTGCCTTCGACTATCTGGTTCGCTCTATGGGTCTGTCATCCAAGTTTGAGATATATCACCCCAAAGCCAGTCACATCCCGCCAATATTGTTACCGACGTTGGGTGGCAACAAGACTCTGTGGACAGAGAACGAGGATGGCAGATTCGAAAGCGACTGAGAGAGAATCTAGCATGTCTTATTTTACTGGCAGCTAACATCATCAATCAGAAGGACCTTTACGCGGATGACTTGGAACCCTTCTGGTGGGCCTTGCTAGATGAGAACACTTCACAGTTGTTTCAATCTACCCTAATAAACTGGCTGAAAGAACCGTAACATCCATCAACTCATCACTGGCCCAATAACCTATCGCGTATCGTGAACAGCGTCTTGGCGCAGAGCCAAGTTTTTCGAACAATGCGCACAGATGGCAATTTTGGCTTTTCCTATGGGACATTGGGAGTCACACCCGCAGATATTGAGGTTGGGGATGTGGTATTTCGCTGTTCCGCAAAACGGGCCATGACGGGATGGGAGTACGTAAGGGACCTCAAACTAGTGTTGCGACCAACTTTATATGATTGTTTCAAAGATGCGTTTAAGTTTGTGGGGTTCTGCCTCCTCAAAGACGACGATATTCCTAGCGAACGACGATGTTACTGGACTTCGTTTCCGAGAAAAGATGTAGTCCTAGTGTGATGGCAATGACAAGGCAATGGTTAAGGTGGAAGTGTTCTATTTTTTGTGCAAAGTCCTCCTGTCTACACAGAGTGACTACTTACCTTGCACGGTATTCGAAATCCAAACAATAAACCGCCATTTCGGGCAGTTTACTAAGCACTCAAGTCTCTTGGCTGCATTCGAAAGAGTAATCAAGGAAGCGCTAGGAACAAATGAATGGACCAAGACTGATTATATGAGCTAGAACCCTTGTTACCTCGAAAAGGCGCAAATCAAGTGTTCTCTCGAATGTTTACTCAACAACCGAAGCCCATGCATCCAAGTACACTACTTTGGGAAGAAACTCGGCAAGCACTAGCTCACTTCTGTGTAAGAGTATCATGGGCAGTCAGTTTTTGTAAGCTACGATGATCAATAATCACCACCGCAATACTACACATAAGAACAAGTATTCATTGTTCGAAAAAGACAAGCCAACGACTACAAAACTCTACAACATTTTATCCCCACTACCCTCGATACCTATCCCAGATCCCCAACAATGTCCGCTCAGACAGTCCCAACCCACTACATAGATGTCAAAGACACAACCCTTGCCTACCGCCGCTTCGGCGCACCGTCCCCCTTCCCTCTACTCTGGATAACCCACTTCCGCGGGACAATGGACCTAATCGATCCCCTCCTCCTCAACAGCATCGCCACCACGCGCTCCCTAATCCTCCTCGACAACGCCGGATGCGGCCACAGTTCCGGCACCATCCAACCCACCATCGGCGGTGCTGCCGCCACAATCGCTGATTTCCTCTCCGCCATCAACGTGCCCAAAGTAGACGTCCTAGGTTTCTCCATGGGAGGCTTCACCGCTCAAGTTCTCACACTAGAGTACCCGCATCTAGTCCGGAAACTCGTGCTGGCTGGGACGCAATCGGCGTATACAACTGGATTCGTAGCGCCAGACCCCAACATCATGATTAAGGCGAGCCAGCCGAACCCAACGCTAGATACCATGCTCGATCTCTTCTTCTACCCCTCTGAAACCAGTCGTGCGCTGGGCGAAGCTTGGTGGCACCGGCTACCCGAGCGCCATGTCGATGGCGAGCAACGCACGACGTTCGTGGATGAAGCCGGGACACAAGTGCAGAATGCGGCCATCGCAGCATTTGTGAGTGATGCAGCGTTTTTTCAGCGGATGGAGCAGTTGGACAAGGAGGTGTTGGTCACGAATGGGAAGACGGATGTTATGACGCCAACGCCGAATAGCTGGCTTATGCAGCAGAGGATGAAGAAGGCCGAGTTGTGTATTTTTAAAGATTCAGGCCATGGGCATTTGTATCAGTTTCCAGAAAAGTATGCAAGGGTATTGGATTTGTTTTTGGGATGAGGTTTTTGGTCAGGAGGGCACTGTGGTGAATCGACGAGCACTTGGGTTGTTACAAAAAAACATGTCGTCAGAATTACTGCTTGAACATTCTTGATTCTATGTCATCTAAAACACCTCGTCTATATCACCGCCCCCTCTCCCGTTCTCTCTTCCGCTCCTCAAACCCCCTCACGCTCTCCCTGACTCCAAACCCTTCCCTCAACAACCCTCCCACATCCTCAAGCCCCAACCCCGCCGTCTCAGGATAGATCCTCCAGACCGTGCCCCACGCAACCCCGCACACAACCGCATACACCGCAAACGTGCCAGCAGGACTAAAAAGATGCAACATGGGCAAAAACGTAAGACCAACCAGGGTATTCGAGCCCCAATTCGTGGCCGTCGAAATGCCCGATCCCAGCGAACGAACTGATAGGGGAAAAAGTTCGGATTGCTGCCAGGGAACGTTGCCCATACCAATCGCGTAACCAGCTACATATGTAATCATGGATACAAGAATAATAAGAGGCCACGTTTTGGTGTTTGCATCGGTGTCGAAAACTGTTTCTTCTTCGGCGGCAGCGGGCAGGTCGACGTAGATGAATGCTATGGCGCAGAGGATGAGGCCGAGGATCATGATTGCGATGGAGTAGAGAAGGATGCGGCGGCGGCCGATGCGGTCGATGAAGTGGAAGGCGACGAGGGTGAAGAGGAAGTTTGTGAGGGCGATGGAGAGCGAGGTTAGGGTTGGGGAGGAGAAGCCTACCATGCGGAAGATTGTGGCGGAGAAGTACATGAGGGAGTTCTGGGGTGGGTGTGGTTAGTATGTTGGGGAGGAGCTTGAGGATAGTAGGGATTACTTACGAAACCGCATAGTTGTTGGAAGCCTTGGAGCATGCAAGCGATTATCAATGCCCTTCGGTTTCCTCCAATGACAATCAGTTGAGATAGGTTGTCTTGCGCTCTTTCTACTTTTGCTCTCCAGCCAGACTTTGCAGACTCGGGCATACCCCGTAAACCAGCCGCATCTTCCTCTTCTTCAATTTCCCTCTCCACTCGCCTTAGCACAGCACCCACCAACTTAGCTCCACCCTCCTCACTCTTATACACCCTTCCCAGCACCGCCCTCGCCTGCTGCACCCTCCCAGCCTTAACCAAATACCTTGGCGTCTCCGGCAAAAAGAACAACATGACAAACTGCACCGCTGCGGGCAACGCTCCCAACCCAACCATCCATCTCCACCCATGCACCCGCTGCGAAAACAGCCACCCAACAACATACGCCACAACCTGTCCGCCCGTCACAAACAAACTACTCACAACCACCAACCTGCCCCGAAACGGACTCGGACTCAGCTCTGAAATATACAGCGGCACAACAAACGACGCGCTCCCTACCGCAGCCCCTACAATCGACCTGCCCAGAATCATCCCGCCCACACTGCTCGTCCAGGCCTGACATAGCGCACCAAGTACAAAAAGCACGTCCGCCACGAAAATCACCGTCCGGCGCCCGTACGAATCCGCCAGCACGCCCGTAAGCGGCGAGGCCAGCAGCGCAAAAAACGATGTACACGACGTTATAAGACTTTTATCGAGGGTAGTGAGCGATCGGGAGGAGAGATCGGTACCGATGGAAACGAGGGTCGAAGAAATGACGCCGGTACTTTACACACAAATGTTAGACTTGGTGTTCGGAAGTGTAATAAGAAAGGTAAGGTAGAGAGAGAGAATTGTAAGCAAGAAAAAAAAGCGTACTCGTAGCCGAATAATAGACCGCTGACGCCGGCGCATATGGTTAGGATCCAGATGAAGAGGCCCGGGGAAACTAGGGCGCTCTCGTCGACTTCGTCGTCGTGGTCGTCGTGTATCTCGGTGTCGTCATCGTTGTCGGTGGTGTACGGGTTGCGCGTATCGGGAGGGAAGTCGTGTCGGGAACTGGGGATCAGTGGTTCGGCGGCGGTATCGGTCATGCTGCTCAGTTCGAAGTCTTCATGAGGAACCGGCATGCAGTACAGAGCGACATGAAGTAGTGAGTATAAGGAACGGTAATTCTGGCGAGCAGATGCCGTCCGCCGTCTGGGGTAGTGTCGGAACAACGGCGGGAGTGTGGACCCTGGATGCACGCTAAGAGGGTGGGTCCGTGTACCTGCTGATTGATCCTTGTCACCTGCATATCTGCGTTTAGATCAGATGGACTTCCTTGAAAGGAAAGCTGATGGATTAACACTGAAGCTAGTTGCATTGTTGTGCTGATTGGATACCATGTCTTGGAGAAAACATGCTCTGCTAGCTACCACCACCATCACACCTCCCCTTCCCCCCTCCACTTCGTTGTTCGATCATCTCCCTCCCTCGTAGTCGGAAAAGCCAAAGCATTCCTCTCGATTCTCCCATAGTGCTTTGCGATCGTGTTCAAGATAGCGAACTATGGTAGTTTCCCACGCACTGTTTCCTGTCCCACCCCGCACATCCATAGCCAGCAAAGCCATTGCCCACACCGTAATCCTTTTGTGCACCCTCCATGCCCTGTCAACGCCGGTCGCTATGCGTCAAGCCACTCATTAGAGAGAATATCGACCCACCCACGCTAATCGCATAGCAAAATTAAGTAAAACAAGTGTGGGAAGCATCTCGTGGAGCTCAAGCGGCAACTTTCGGGAAATGTCGCTAGAGTTAAGATGCGAAGCTTCATCTTGGAGACTTTCATTTGGCTTCATTGACAGCTTCCGGACCATGGTTAGCGGGGCCAGCCGGTGGGACCTGGGGCCCTGTCGAATGCTGTTGCATCATAGGCTGAGAGTAGCTTGCACTTGGTGTACCACGATGTTGTTGGGGGAATTGAGGATGTTGCTGGGGCGAGCCGTAATGTCCACCCTGGTATGGCTGTTGATAAGGTCCTCGCATCGGAGCCACTGCCGCCATGTTAGTTTTGCAACGTGATTCTTCCATCAATTAACTTACTAGAACCTGGCTGCATCTGGTACATTTGAGGTGCTGGTGCTCCGGGCTGCATGTACATCATGTGAGGTTGCTGGTGGTGGCCTTGCTGTGAACCTTGGTGGCTCATCATCGGAGCACCTGGTCTCGGACTTGGGAACCCATTGGCGCCAGGCCCAGGCATGTGGCCGGGATATTGTGGGTATGCAGGACCAGGAGCCGGAGAGTACATTTGCATTTGAGGGTTACCTGGCATTCCCATATAAGGCCCATTTGAAGGCTGGTTCGTCATCATTTGCCCTCCCATTGCTGGGCCAGGGGGTTGGATGAACTGTCCGCCTTGCGCATTACGCATAGGTACATGCTGAACATTAGGGCTCATGCCGTACTGAGGAACTTGGACAGGCTGGGGATAGCCTGGCATTTGCTGGGGTTGTGCTCCATACATGAAAGGTGCCATGGGCCGCGGTGAAGGTTGGACTGATGACTGCGAGTGCGAGTATTGCATGTGGGGCGCTTCGAACTGGTGTGGGTTCTGGCCAATATGCGGCTGCACTGGCGGGCCTCGGGGGGTGTGTTGGGGCGTTGGGCCTTGTGGCATACCTTGTGCACCCTGAAGATGAGGAGGAATTTGATGCGGCATGGGACCGCTAGTCATTACGTGTTGAGGAGCTGATAAGGGCACTGCTGGAGGAGCATGCTCGAATAGCTGCTCATACCCCTTGTTTGAATTGGATGCAGGGAAGTCCCAAGTGGGGAAAGTCTTGTAAGGAGGCGCGATATCAGAGTGCGACTTCTCACTGCCTTGCACCTCCTTTTCCAGACGTCCAACAGTGTTGAAGGTTGTTGGGCCGTCCAGAGACTTTACATTTGGCCTTTGACCAATGAAGAAGTTGGTGACAGGCGGCTTGCGAACTTCTTGCCGTGATGAGTTTGGTCGAGGGCTGGAGCTGGCGCTTGGGTTTCCACCAGGCTGGAAAGTGTTCGCTGCTGGGTTTGGCTTAAACTCATGTGCACGAACATTGAACCTTGACGCACTGGAAGGTGTTTGAGCACCGCTAGAAGGCTGTGAAGAACCAGTAGGGGGCACCCGAGTGTCTTGAGATGGAATTGGCTGAGGAACGCCATTGTAGGGCACTGCACCCTGTTGTTTGTGCTGCTGATGATTCATCTGTAGACGAGTGCTGAGTAGTCCCGGGTTCCGAGGAGGGATGTTCATGTTCTGGTGCGAACCTCGCATGCTAGCCGATGCGTAGGGCTGCTGTCCCTGGCGGGGACGCTGAGCTTGTTGGCGGTCAACAGTCGTGCTTGGAGAAGCCTGGGTAGGCTCAGGCTTAGCAGATGGCCGTGGGGCAGCTTTGGGGTCGGAAGCGCTGGTTGAGGGTTTTGCAGGCGGCGAAGCCTTCAACTCAAGCGCTTGTCGGTTAGCCTTGTCGACAATGGCTTGCTGCTTAGTCTCGTCCTTAGCAAGAATGGGAACCAAATCCGATGGCACTGGTGTGCTCAACTTAAAGTTGAGCGCAAACTTCTTCAAGTCATTCAGCTTGACTGCCTTGTTTTCGCGAGCGAAAGCCCTCTGGCGGTCAGAGATGCGCAGTTTTTCGGCGGCCGAGAACTGCTTGAAAGAATCCAACAGATCATGTTCCACATTGGTTGTTGCATCGTGTGGTCGTCCGGCCTTGCGAGGGGGAATGGCAGCCACTGTGGACTTGATGGTACTGCTGGGCTTCTGTAGTTGCTCCGTGATGGCTTTGTGCACATCTGCTGGCTTTGATCCGGGTTTGGGAGTCTCCTTAGGGGCCTCCTTGGTGGTTTCCTTTGTGGTTTCTTTGGGTGCTTCTTTGGCGGCTTCCTGGGCTTTGGGGGCTTCAGTTGCAGGGGCTGCTGGCGCAGCGGGACTGGCGGCACGTTGTGCGATCTGCGAACCAGGTCGTGCGACAGACGAGGAAATAATGGCAGGATCGACCGGAGCGCCGGGTACGGTTGGCTGAGCGGAAGGTGCACGGCGCGCAGGCGGGGTATACCGGTTAGGTTGGCCTGTTGACAGAGCCGGAAAGTCTCGACGCACGCCGCTGTACTTGTCTTCCTCATCACCATTGTCGTCGGCAGCAGAATACCCTCCTCGCTCCTCGCGGACATGTGCGTTGGTTGCAGTGCTGCCTTCAATCTCCCGAGCAATCTTCTCAGCACGTGCAGCCCTCTCTGCATACTGAGGGTCGTTCTTGTTGATAGTAGTGGTGTAGAAAGTCTCATCGTAGTTGCTCTTTACGCCAAAGAGGCGCTCGTTGGTGGAAAATTGGTCCCATTCAGTCGTACGTCCCGTTGACTCAAGAGTCAGGCTTGGGTCGACCTCGGACGGCTCCCATTTCTGGAGGTCACGCTCGCGGAAGGCCATCTTGCCTGAAATGTCGGTGTCTGTGCGGAAGCCCGATGTACCTACGACAGTCAGCTTGGTGCGAGAGAAGACTGTCACCAATACACATACCGTTCTGGCCCTTGGCGCTAGACTTGTCAAGTACCACGTTATTGACATTGAAATCGGCAACGTCGCTCATGTCAAAGGACATGACGTGGTAGTCACCCGCACCGACATAGTCGTCGGAAACGTCGCCTGTGCCATTGGTCTGGGCATTGCTGGCGGGCATCAATTTCTTGACCATCTTGAAGACATAACGCAGCTCGCTAGGGTCCAATGAAGTGCCGGACAGCACACCAGAGTACTTTTCACCATTCTTCAGTGTAATGATGCCCGGAAGACCCTAACCATGACCGTCAGCTGTGTTTGTCGGCTTCGGATTGAGCAGCACCCGTCACTTACAGTGAGGTTGGCCAACAGGTACATCATCCGATCGCTGAGGTGCCGCATTGGAGACGCAGTTTCGCCCGACGAGGGTGTCGGGGTGGGCTTTTGGGAGTTTACGAGGCCGTTGGATGGGGAAGGGTTCGTCGGTCGCTGAGTGAGAGGATTGGTACCCTGGGTCCATGCCGTTTTGGCCGGCTGCTTCCTACAAGGTGCCAAGTCAGCATTGGGCCAGGCGCAGGCAGGTGCAAATATATCGAGGACAGGGCAGGGCGAGGTGAGGCAATTGGACAGAAGACAGGGCGCGAGGGCCGTCTAGTGGACAGCGCAGTCGCACCGTGGCTCCATGTGACCGCCGACAAGTCACACGAGGATATCCCGGTGTGTGGTAGCGGTGTCGGGCGGCGGAGTAGAGCGTGGGCAGACATGCAGCTGAGGAGCAGCGTACGATGGGAGGAGGCGGGCGGGCGGGCGGGGCGGGCAGTTGGAGAGGGACTAGTTACCTCTGGCTACCTTCGCTGGGGCTTCCTGGCTTTCGCTGTGCGTCGGTAGCGGCTTTGCCAGCTGTGCTCATTTTCAGTTGCCTGCCGGGAGTGGAGACGGCGTTCAGAGCATTGGAGGAGGTGCTGGTCGTGGCAGCGGCAGTGGACATGGATGGGTGAGGAGGGCGCGGGTGCTGGTGGTGCGGTAGCGTGCGTCGGTGTCGGTGGTTGTGGGTGGGAGGATGGAGCGACGGGCGGGGGGGGGGGGGACAGGGCAAGCAGCTCCAACTCT